TAATTTGATTGGCAGTTAATCACATGATATATCTCTGACCCTATATTTGGAGGACATCTAAAGCAGAGGCAACTCATATTTAATAATTTTTTTGATTAACTTTAGGGTTAGTGTCTTCTATATTGGAGTTAAATTAGGTTTTATATAAGCAAAATTGCCTTCCTGACATTTTTGATTAACCTATCTAAGGTAGGTTTAGACTAGTGATTGAACCTGGGTTGGGTTAACCCAGGTATACCCAGGTGGGTCGGGTATCCGGGTTGTGATTGTGTCTATCTGAGTAAACTTGGATGGGTAGACCTAGTATTGCCACCAAAATCATATATGTAATCCTTCGAATTATTTATTCAAATTATTTATTCAAATTATTTATTTGAATTATTTATTTGAATTATTTATTCAAATTATTTATTTTTTATTTATTTGTTTTTTTTTTTAATCTTTGGCAACCTTGCCAGTGATCCTTTATTAAGATTATTATATAAATATATTATATAATGTTGAGCTTAATATCTAGGCTCGACATCTCCCTGCTACCTCGTGGGTGCCCAGAAGCGGTCTGCCGCACTGATTTGAAATTGTTTCATAATCAGAAGGCTAACACCAGGTTAGGTGCACAAACTATACCAAAAGGGTTTGCAAATATTTTGTATTAATTTTCTAAAACTATTAAACCATCTATTTTCTATTCATTTTATACCCTCCTCTTTTTCATCTTTTAATCTAATATTCCTTTCTAGTTCCTCTACATTAGTTCCAGTCTTTGAACCCCTTTTTTGTGTCTTTGTTTCAGCTATACTTGGATCTGACTTCTTTCTTTCTTTTGTTGATCTGCCATTATGTTTTTCTTTAGTTGTGATATTTTTACTAATTTCCCATTTTCGTATTGTTTCATATCTTTTTGTCCATATATTTTCATAAAAGCAGTTCCAAACCATATTTATAGCAAGTTCGATGTAGGTCTTGGTGTCTTTTCTTGATTGTAGAGTTTCTTGTATCTTTTCTGCCTTGTCTTCTTGAATCAGACCTTTGTTTGCTTTAGCTCTCATTTCTAAAGATTCTTCTTTTGACTCTCCCCAGAGAGTTTCCTCGAGTAGATCTTTATTTGTTCTCATTTGAGTTTCTTCTGGAAGGGCTGCCCATGCTATATTTGCTGCTAGTTTTTCTCCAATCTTCCAGCTGTTTTCTTGTTCTCTACAGCTTGCTAGATGATCTTGATCTTCTTCAACTTTTTCATTGCATATTATGCAGTTATAATCTTGATATAAGTCTGGGCGCCTTTGTGCTAGTGTTTGAAGTACTGGTAACTTTTTGTTAACACATTTAATTAGAGCTCCAAGGT